ACTGTCTAGTTCCTTAAAAATATCCCAGGTTATCCGTTTGTTAATGATCAAACCTTGGAAACCCTGGTTCTTGTCCATGGTCACTATCAGCACTGTAGAGTTGTCAAATGGAGCAGCATTGAAGAGTTTATCAGTGGCAGCAAGAATGGATCCCACAACTACATGTATGTGTTTATCATGAGAGGTGACTGGTGTACATGTATTAAGGGGATGTTCGCTGTCTGCAGAAATAGCTTTATTCAGCACAATTTTGTTGTATTTGTCTGCTGGTGAATGAGGTTTCTCATCAGCAGCCAAAGTGGATGCATATAACACCTGTTCATCCTTGTTTCCCTTCCTTGAATGGGTCCACAGAAGGCCTAGATATATATAGAAAAAGATTGGACTACATGATGGAGAAAATGAGAGACGAAAACAGTGTCAAAAGAGTAGAATGATTCTTCAATTACTGGATATCGATACAAAAGCAGTGCCAAATACTACATTGAATATATGATCTGCTGGACAAAATTTCTGTTCCATTTAGGACTCAAAAACTCGTGGTAGCTAATCTCAACTTAAAGACATGCAGGCAGTTGAGCTTACTGTTAACTTAAAGGGCAGTTGGCAAAAAAGATCCCTATCAGACTACTAATGTAGATAGTGGCCAGAAAGGAAACTAACTGCAATATCTATTAAGGAACCAAAGATACCACATCTATGGAGGAGCTGTAGAAGTCAAACAGGGCTGGTGTAATAGCTAAGTCATAGTATCCCAGATCATTCTCATTTTAGACTGACATTGAAGATGCCAGGTACATATGAAGAGGCAGTTGTGCTACAATAATTTCTGATGTGTAGTCATCAGATCCATAGACCTTAATACTGTAGCATGTCTATAATTCCATGACCTTTCTGTTTTCCAATCAAACAACAATTGAAGAATTCATGGCATTAGTAATACCATCATCAAAGCCAAAAGTTCTAGGGTGCAAGACCTGATTCACAAACCTTCACAAATATTACTCCACTATTCCCTCCGAGAAGCTTTTTCAGACACCAACGTCACATTTCCATGATCATGTAACAAATGACCATTAAGCCTCTGTTTGGTTGCTTAATAAGTAAGAGAAAAGGAAGCTAATAGATGAAATCTAATTTTCCCATTATCTGGCAATGAACAACATTCAGGAAGAGAATTCAAGAAGTAATTCATGGACTTTAGGAGACAATGTTCTCGACAATTTTATCATACTAAAAAACAAACATTGCAATTTCCTTTATAATATTTGTGCAGCTTTTTATTCGACCAAACAAGAGAAAGTTATATTTTTCTTTTCTTAGCTAACGTATTCCAAGATAACATACACCAAATCCCATAAGAAATGATAAATGACATGAAAGGTATGGGGAGGGTCAACGTATGCATCTTTACTCCTACAAGAGGCTGTCCCGTCATCTGAACCCTGATCACCTAAGTTGCAAAGAAACAACCCTCACATGGCAGCAAGGCTTGCAAACCCTAATCAACCAGATCATAAAGAGATAGTGGTATGCCAAAAAAGTGAATATGCTAATACTACAAGGAAACTGGCCCCTGCGGAGCTTCTCTTTCTTCCCGTGATGAGTGGAGAAGAAGTAAGACGGTCACAGGCCACCTGATGGCAACAATATGAAATCAACTCCACAATAAACTAGGTATCACATAGAAGGACCCAAATATTAGCAGTTTGAAGAAATAGAAAAGAAGCTCATGCAGATAGTTGAAATGGCTATTTCTAATGTCTGGAACATGTTGATCCAACTTATAATCAAGATGTATTATCACAGATGATCTAATCACCTTGGGTTTATGACAACAAATAAATAACCAATACTTAAGAAGTTAGAACAAACTTCAAAAAAAGAATAAATATTGTGACTGTGAATGTAAAAGTTGCAGTTCCATGCATGAGAGAGTAAAGATTTATAAAGCAGGACTCCTACAAGTTAGTAACTGCTCATGGACAAGTGAAAGAAGTAAACAACAAAGGCACAAAGTCCAATACCTTTCAGAAATATTAAATCCTTAAAGTCAGAATAAGCAAAAGACGCCAAGTTTCAGTAACAGAGTTGGCAAAAAAATTTACTAACCTTTACATGTAGACTAAATTTTGACACCCAATTAATACATAGGCTATTTAAAGTCAACAAAAATATGAGCAATGTCGTCTGCTTTGCAATATTAACATATTCTTCCATTTAGAGTCAATAGACACATGAGAAATGAGATCCAGAGTTGTTTTGTGAAAAACACCATTTTGTTTTCCCAGAGATAACTGTAAGATTACTAACATTCAATGTAGCATTAGATGGGGAGATTCTTTCTCCCTACATGTTCATTTTTCATCCAACAAATGTTGTAAGATTACCCCATTTAAGATCAAAGGCACTTCTATTTCTCATTTATTGTTTGCTGACAACCTTCTCCTTTCTTTTCGTGCCAACAAAAAAATGTGTCAACATTCTTGACTCCAAAGTTCAACTGACTAACCTCAAAATTAGTCTTGCTAGGTCCAATGTTTCTTTTCCTATGCATTGTGACCCTTAGACCAAACACCATACTTGCTCCTTTCAAATCAAGGAGGGCTCTTGGCCTATGAAGTGCTTGGGAACTTACTTTCATCCTACTAGTTTTCCTAAAAGATACCAAAACATCATGGTTGATGAAGCCTTAGCCAAGATTAGTTGTTGGTATAAATGTCTCCTGAACCAGACTGGAAAATATTTCTTAATTAATGCTATCATTAACTCTATCACCACTCGTACTCTCAACAGTTGGATTTCTGACCCTGGATATAATCATGAGTATCAAGAATAATTCCATCAAGGACATCTTAATGATCAAGTCTTTCCAGATCAGAATCAAAGCGAGCTCAGAGTCAATACACCTACCTATTAAATTTCGATTGTCCTAAAACTTAGGAAGAATGCCACAAGGAACATACTGCAGCCAAAACAGAAATTCATGAGTTCGATCAAATAGTTGGGTAAGACCAATCTGAACCACATGGAAGTTGTTAAATATGCCCAATAAGCTACATCTGTGTAGAGTTGCTATAATATTACAAAGCAATTCAAAATAAAAATACCTTTATAATTATGATTATGAGAATTGCCTCCATAAGATTCTAGAAATTCCATGATACTAACAACTGACATATTGCCTTCATAGGTAATTGCACTTTTGTTCTCAGCACGAAATAACAACAGTATTGGATAATTTTCCTTCTGCAAAATCATTACAAAGAGACAAAAAAGTTACGTGAAAACCTTTTAGTTAAGACTTGCAGGATAGTACTCGTGAGGAATGAGTAAAGACGAGGCTGCTTCCTGTGTAGTTGCAAGCTAGAATCTGAAAGGCTACAAGCCTATGTATTACCAACTAACTAATTAACATTAATCTCATAGCTTCAACATGTTTCAAATAAAACTTACCAACAATTTAAGTTCATGGTTCTAAAAATGGGCTGAATTGATCTAGGATTGGATATAGAGCACTGAAATGCTCCTATTTACGAGACCCTTGGTATTTGTTCAACTAGCAAAATATAGTATGTAACTTCATGAAAAATAATCTACATATTATGTGATAGTATATGTTAAGATTTTAACTATCAATCATATCGTCAAAGTTGGGCCAGTTGCCAACTGATATTTACTGGTCAAACCAAGAACCGATAGTAGATTGGTAACTATTCATATTTATTATTATTTTTTTAGTGATATTAAGTGATGTAGATTGATATACCATCCACTACACTGCGGCCCAACCAGTTGGAAAATTTACTAGTAATAGATTGATATAAAAACCTTACAAACATGACACATTACAAATAAAAAGTAACAAAAGCGCATGACAAGATTGTTTATGATATAAGTCATAAAATACATATCATAATTCAATTATTCATAGTTCATAATAACATCAAGAAATAATGAATATAATAAATTGAGTGTAATCACATCATTGTTACAAAAATATTAAAATGTTAGCTTCAAACTTAAAATTTAAAATTTTAGTTACAAATTATTGATAACTTGAAGAGTTGAAGTAAAATTTTAAAAACTTTAATGAAACTTAATCATCCATTTCCTATCATCTAATTCAATTGGTCTAAATCAGTCAATCCTAACCTAAATTTAAATGATAATCTAGGATATGATATTATCAAAATTTCAAATGGCATAAATATAGGCCAGCAGAAGTAATGACCAATCAATTACTGTTATATTAACTATAAGAATCCTACTCAAAATTTGGAAAATCTTTTACAGGTATATCAAGAATCTATTACAAGATAGGCTATGAGCTTTGCGAGAAAGCACACTATAAGACAGGAGGCCATTATAAATCATATGAGTCAGGAAAATAAGTGCCTTAAAACATCAGTCAATTTTCACTGGCTTTCTATTGAGAAGCAGTTACAAAAAAGAATTACAGATTCATGAGAAACAATTAGACCATCAAATAGACTGAGAAACACTTACACCATCAAATAGACAAATTATAAATGAATCTCCTGCTCAAAAAAAAAAAATCAAATACCTTTTTCATTCTAAGCATTTGGTAGAAAGTCTTAATTGATTAAACTACCTATAGCACTTTGGAAAATATATTAAGGATCAACTCCATGCATGTATGTTTTCTATAAGCAATATGAAAATACTTCTACTGAAATGAGTACATATTTTCAACAGAGAATTAAGGAAACTGATATATTTGAGTACACAATGTAAGGGAAAAGAGAAATAAATAGACAGACCAACACAAACAACATGAGAGAGAGAGAGAGAGAGGGTCGGCAGATGAAATGTAGCCGACCTCATATGATGGGGACCTTATGGTGGGAAAAGATCCATGTTTTGGTTATCGTTGTTAAAGTTTCTATAGATCATTAGTTTATTTTGATGTCCACCAATATCAGAAAGCAATGGCAATATGGATCTACAAAAGAAAATTCAAAAGCAATAGATATCAACAAGGAAGAAACATGTCAAAAACAGCAATTTCTCCAGGCTCGAACAGTGTGTTTGAGAAAGAGCATAGTTTTAAGTATCTGAAAATGCTTGGCATGTTTAAATTGGTTACCTTGCCAAGTGGCTTTAAGAATAAACCACAATCATTAAGGGTACAATCCATTAAAAATATTGCTGGAAACTTATTCAGCATCAGATCTTCTTTCTTATCTGCAAGGAACTTGTGCACTATTAGTGACCATAAATTCATGCACTGAGAATATGGATTCCAGTGTAGTATTTTAGAAGATAACATCTAGATGGAAAAAGCATACATTTAAAACAATCTTATTTCTGGATAGAGTATAATATAATTATTTTTAGAAGATGACATCCATATGACAAAAAGATAAAATCAAAACAAGCTTATTCCTGAATAGAGTAAAATAACATGAATAAATATTTCCACTGGTGATGTTCCTGCTTTCAGTGTCTTGCGTTAGAGTAAGGTTTGAGGAAGATAGTTGTACTAAATGGGCAAGATCACTGATGGCACAAATAGATTTCAATGTCTTTTAACTTGAATATCAAAAGAAAGGACAAATATAACATCATGACAAAACAGCAAGATAATAAAGCAGCAATAAACAAACATATCCATTAGTGTTTCTAAAAGTTTATCTTCTCTGGGTATAATTACATATGTGCTTAAAAATAGCAAACGTAATTCCATAGTATGCAATCCACTTAACAAATGAAGCACACATCATCACAGTTATCTAAGTTACTGGATAATCAAGAGAACTACTTTATGCATTTGTAAGATGGAATAGATAAAGCTTCTCTTGAACAAGTTGATTAGACACCAAAATAACATGCAAAATGGAACCAAACTCTTGTTGCATTATCATTAGGGGCTACTCATACACAAACATAAAGTATATGTGATGCAAGCTTAACAACAGAGAAACATAATATATGACTTCTTTAAGTTACACGCTCAATGTTGATTTAATAACAGTTAATAGTGACAAATTCTAAACATATCATGAACAATTTGATACTAAAAGAATTATTAATAATATACCTTTTGTTTAGTTTATAGACGTTTATGACTTTCAATAAGTTCAAGTTTAAACTGTCATTGTCTTTAATACAACACCTAGAGTACTCTGTTATTCCAGAATGAAATTCAACAACCAGAATTTAACATCTTTTGTGGAGAACTGGCTGTGGAAAGCTGAAGGCAACATTACCATATTTTTCAGTTTCTTTCTATGAGACCTATCATGAAACTAATCATACCTTTGAAAATAAGAATGAAATCCAAAATGAGCAACCAGAGTTGGCTGACCTAACAAATAATGATCCGAGTCATTATGAATGAACACTAATAGGTACTTTGCAGCACAGTATATGCATATATAGAACAAAAAGACAATATCCCTAATTATTTCATAAATCTCAAATTGCTCATGGTTTCCACTCAGTTCAATTTTTCACCAAATATTCTCCAAAATGGAACCTAAATAAATTATGATCATGCAGATTTTCACAGATTCCATTCATGACTAAGTCAACAATGGATTAAATTAGTTAACATACTGTTTGCTTACATTGGTGGCAACTATTATTAATTCATATACATACAACAGTAGGAATTCTTTCCCAATCTTTTCTGTATTAATTAAAAATCTTCATCCTGATACTCACCTAATACATTTCTGAACAAAAATCATCATCATGGATATTCTAGTTGTTATGTTATGCTACATCATACACCATTCAAGTTATTTTGTATTTTTCTACTTTCTAAACAAGGGACACATACTGGAGATGACATTTTGATTTTCAATCTGGCAAGGTGTTATTTGAATTTGTGCTAAATTATGCAACATTCAAGTTCTTTTGTATTTTTCTTCTTTCTAAACAAGGGGTAAATACTAAACATGACATTTTGACTTTCAATCTGGCAAGGTGTCTTTTGCTTTAGCTCCTTTTCTCTAGCTGATGCACATGAAGTGGCTTCCAGTTGATCTATCTTACGAGAGTACCCACCAAATGGAACATTTAGAAACATAATCATGAAAATATGCAAAACATAAAACAATAAATATTCCCGCACATGCTTTTATTTAAGGTGGAGTACCTTTGATATTTGTAGGATCATCATTCTTGGATTGACTTATTGAGAAATTTATAGAGTTCTTAAAAGCTCGATGTACTTCACGCACAATCAGCTCCATACGCTGGCAGAATCCACACCAAGGAGTGCTAAAAAGCACCAAAACATCGATCTTCCAAGCAGATTTAAGTTCTCGAGAGTTAGAAAATGGCACTTTATCATTCATTTCACAAGGTATAAAACCTATAACCAGTTCACAAAATGTGCTACTTGTAACTTGAGGTATAGAATCAATTTCATGGAAATCCAAATTCACAAGTGGTGGCTTTGGCATATCTCTAGAAGTTTTAAGAGATGATACTGAATGTTGATATGGTGTAAGACTTCCATTTAAAAATCTGTCTACAAAACTAACTACAGAAGGGTAATTAATATCCGTTGCCTCGGAAAATACGAAGTGCTGTTGCATAACCGGGTCAAGAATTACTAGAGATGGGATCCTAGATTCTGCAGTCAATGTTCTCAGCAACCGGTAGCCACCATCGATGAAGAAAAAAGAGCCTAAGAAAGGTTGGTGCTGATAACATGGTTCATCTGCCTTTCTTAATCTATTGGATATCCTAATGCTTCCCATATCATCCCCTGCTGAAAGAACTGATGAACTGTGTCCAAAATCTGACTTAACTTGTCTGATGCTTGATGTAGAATCAATTTTATCAGCTTGCTCTTCCTGAACGTGTTCCTCTGGAGTAGGTAACTCTTGTTCCACACAACAAGATCTTTCAACGTGACATGAGAATGCATTGTCATTATCATAAGGAGCTGCTTCACGAGTTTCAAGAAAATTGGCAACATCATCTGGATGCTCAGATTGCTTTCTTTCATCGGTCATAATATTTTCAGTAGTATATAATAACCCACCACTACTCACATCATCCTGGCTTTCAGTAAGTTCATTGGGATCATTTAACATGGTAGTGGTACCCCTACCCATTTCTCTGAACTGATTATCGTCATTATGTGATTGGAACGACTCTATTATCTGAACTTCAAAATCATCAGACAAGAGCTCAAAGCCAGCTTTCTTTGCTACTTCACTTATTTTGGTTTCTTTATTCTTCAGTGCCGGACTTTCTCGCTGAAGTAATCGTGTCAGGATATCATAGACAGGGTTTCCTTGACTTTCAAGTGCAGTGTTTTTCAATGAAATATGTTCACCTTCATTAACTATCATGAAAGCCATATTATCCTTAATTTTCACAACCTTGGGGGTCTGAGAAACTTTTCCTGATTGATGACTAGAGGACCCTGATAAACTTCTGGAACTACTCATGACTCTGCTGTCTCGTCCTCTAACTGTTTGATAGCAAAGCTGATTCTGCAATGAGAATTTTCTAAGAACCTCAAGAGATAACTTGCTCCCTTCCCTAACTTTCGAAGAATTTGAGGATCTATCAATAAATAGAATGATTGAAGGTCTATTTGCTGGAAATGCAGGTTCAAGATTGCGTCCATCAACATCAAACTATGTAACAAAAAAAAAAAAGTAAATCCAATACACTTATGCCCATAAAAGATATAATTTAGTAAATCCAAATAACAAAAGAAAATCAAATATTGAACAAAAGAAAACATTAATCAAACAGATGTCAGAAATGGGCCTTAAGGAAAATACAGTCATGGTTTGTGGATTAATGAAACTGGTATGACATTGAAAAACAAATATCTGTTGCATTGGGTAAATAAACCATGGCAGGTATGCAATAGTATATCATAAATAGCAGGATACTAAATCATCTATCCTGACATGAACTTCAATTAGTTTCTCTATAATGTGCTTAAAGTCAATTAAGTCATTATCTGACTTCCTCTTCAAGAATTTAGATAGTAGATCTCAGCTTCAGCTGGTTCAAGTCAGTGTCATGGAACTTTATTAGTTACTCCATCCATTAAATCTTTCATAAAATTTTTAGCAATCCACATTTTGACAATCCAAGGCCTGCTTCTGTTCATGTAATGAATTATCCTTGTCAAGGAGAACACTTATACTGAACCATTGTTTCCCAGTACCTTGAAATGCATGAGACTCTTCATGTGCTGTCAATATATTAGTGACCAAATTGACTTACAGGCTTTGCTCAACAACTGATAGTTCATCAGTGTCTACTGCCTTACCGCAATTAAAACACAATCTAAGTAAGACCTCCAGTCTTTCATAAAAAATCAAAGGGTTGTGTTGGCTTCTCGTCTCATAATTTTTATATTCATGCAGATATCCATTAAGATGTATTAACTGGTTAATGTTATCTTAAATGAATCCGAGTTCACTAGAAACATTCATAAGACCTAGATTAGTAACCTAAAGTTGCATGTACTACATATGCCACTATCTAGGGGTTATTCATGGACCTCTCCTGTCAAATTTCTATAAATACACAGATATCCTCTAGGACATATTGACTAGCTATTGTTAGGTCAATGAACCTGAGTTAATAATCAACATTCAGTAAGCAGAAGAACACTAATAGAGTTGCCTCTAGACCCTCTACTACATGTGCCACTACACACCGTCCAGAATGTAACACATCAAATAAGTATATGTCAGCATGTGTTGGTAAAAGCTTTTCCAATATACATTGAAGCATGGTTCGCCTTACCGATTCATACCAGTGTACCGATCAGCCATCAGTATAGTATGTACTGACATACTGACACACGGTATGGTATAGTGTACTGATGGACTGATATGAACTGCCCATATCGATCCCCTGTTAGATTGGTACATACCGCTTGTACTGGGCGGTACACTATGGTACGACGAACCTTGCATTGAAGTAGCTTTTAGTTTTTTACTTAATGCTACTTAGAACCCTCCATATGTCAACTGGCAAATACCATTACAACAAAGAATCCCCATTGTACTAGAGCATGTAAATCATAACTCTTCCATGTTTAAATATTCCAATTTTACATTTGAACAATCAGTTAATGTTGTTTGATTTGACACCTAAAAAGTGGCAGAAAGCACTAATAAGTATAAATATTAATTTCTGTCATGCAACTATCAACATAAGACCTTACAGTATAGACATTACACAATTTAAATGAGTGTGTGTATAGATCAATGTGCATGAGACAGAGATGAAAAAATCCATTGTCAATTATGTATAAAACGTCATTCTAAATGTTGGTCATAAAAGGCCATTGGGGAATCTTATTACCAGTAACAGCCTTATAGTTGCAACAAAAGTCAAAAACTTATCTTGTTATAAATGCATATGAGAAGACCCTTAGTTACTCTTGTTTTCTATAACTCACTCTTAAAAATCTACATACCGATCCATCTGATTACTGGCCAACAGTGAGAATAGTAAACTATGAGAATACAGCACAGTATACCTTGGCATACTACTGCCAAAAAAAAAAATTGTAAAACAAAAAAATTATATAGTGTCTGAAGATGTCAGTATGGTTGGTACACATACTGTTTGGCCTCGGACCAATACAGCCTGGTTGTTATTAACTGGAAATTAATTTTTTATGACCTTCGTGTGACTATTAAGATGTAAAAAATATACATTACTGGTAAAGTTGAAGACTTTTGGTGCAATCTTTCAACCCAATTTCATCAAAATGAAAGCATGAAAAGTTGTCAAACAAGTTTCAAGAACATACCTCCATGATCAGAGAGTGATGTGTTTGCAAAATGTTCCTCAGATCATCTCCTTGTTGGACTATCATTGTACAATTAGAACATCCAGAGAAATGAAGCATAACTAACCATTTATCTGGACTGCTAATACCAAGGAAAGATAACAAAGCTCCTTCAGATATCAAACCAAACCTTTGTCTCTCAGGAGGTAGAAAAAACTCTCTTGCAATAGCAGTGAACTTCATAAAAAAAGTCTCAAATTGCTTAAACTCTTCATCTGTACACAGCATTCTAGTACCAGCACCTCCATCATCTAATTGCTCTAGAGTACTTTGATTTGCTAAAGTATATTCCTTAAGCCAAACTGATCTTCCTAGTCCATCTTCAACTGCACATGTAAGTCTATTTTCCATTCCCTGTAATGATCACAAATGAATGTGTAATTAGCACTTCCATTACCTTCCTGAATCCCATCTGCTTTTGTACCATAAGGTGCCTAATTTTAAGAGCAAACAACCTTGTGGTGTTCAACATGAAAGTCATCCACCATTTCTCTGTTGATGCTTTGTCCAATTATGCCAACTGCAATATGTTGTTACATAAACAACCTTACTACAAGAATAATGATTTACTCTGAGCATAGAATTAGTTGTGTAATCAACAAAGTATGTCCAAAGGTTGATCATTATGAAAAACAGTGGCTTATGGCAGGTTATCTAGAGATTTTTATCTATAAGAAATTAAAAGGCCAAACAGAAAGGTATAAGGAATGCTTTTCTTTAACTTAGCACAACACCACTTCCAAGATATCTGCAGAACCTCTTAAAAGGAACATACTTTGCAAGCACCTAAAATTGCAGGATGAATGAAAGTGATATCAATTAGATTTATCCAGGCTAAATGGGGTTGAAAATTTTTAATTAAAAACACACTTAAAACGGATATATATGTCAATGTGAACCATTAACTAACACATGGCAGTTTTAAGTGTTGCTATTAGTTAAAAGGTTACTTACCAAAAAGCAACAGGCCTAGTGCTCCATGACAATGAACCTATAGATTATTTTTATACAATAAAAGAAACAAAATCCCTATAATGCAATACCCTTTATCAAATTTGTTTTATGTCTACTAAGAATGTCATTGACATTTGGCATATTAAACAGCAAGGTGTCAATGCTAAACGAGGGTTGATTCTACATGCTGCTTACATAAAGTAAGAAGACCTGAAATGAGCCATCAATAGGCAAAAGAGTAAGTTAAGATGGAAAACCATTCTCTGAATGATTAAATGCAGACATAGGAGTCTCATAATTTCCATTATTCTTTCTGCGCAACAATTTAGCTGACCATCCACAGAACTCAAGGAGTAGAACAGCTTTATCTGTTGATAGGAAAAAGTTCTCCACGTCTTCTGGAGTTTGCAGCAGCTTCAAAGGAAGTTCCTCAGGTTCAAGTGATTGAAAATGATTGACTGAAGAAAGTATATTTTCTGCACGCAGTCTTCCATGATATTTATATGACATGGAATTATGATAGTAGAATAATGTTATTTCCTCAGTAGCACCAAGGATATCAGCTAGCATCTTCTCAGAACTCCTATATATGACCATTAATTTTAGAAAGTCAAGTTTGTCCTGATTATTAGCCACCAAATGTGCCACTTCCTTCATTAGAGATCGTGATTCCCCAGACCCTGCAAAAAAATATAGAACAATCATCAAACTTGGAACCCATAGTGCATTAAGAATATCTAGCACCCTGCAGATAGTTTAAGCATTCTTGGAAGGCATCTAATCCCCTGAAGAAGCAAATCTTACAACACTATAACGTGGAAGTTTCCTTTGAACAGGAGAAAGAATAAGTTGGTCCTTTGAATAGCATCTGCTTTTCAATGACAGGAAATCATGTACACCTATCTTAAGCCAAGAATTCTCAAGAGCAACTGCTATATGTTTCGATAATTGATAATCTTGCCTACCAGACACATAAACATAGATCTAAGTGTCTTGCCCAATGTCATGCTATTTAATAGTGATTTTGAAAACAACAATGAACAGGAAGTCACAGTTGCTACAAGGGGAATCAGTAATTTCATGGAGATAAAATTATCATTAATTTAAGTAATGTTAAACTTATCAAATTTACCAACCATTAATCACCACATGTCATATTGATACAATTTAAAAAATAGGAAACGGATGGTATCAAGTGCACATCACACATCCATAGACACGTCCACTTACATACACGTGGTCACACAAGGCATGCACACTCACACACACTGTTCAAGAGGAAAGGCTCAAAGAAGAACGTATTACGACATCAAGAGCCGGAGATTCTATGAAGTCTCAGTTTAGGCAAAAAGAAACATGTTAAATTTGATAAGAGGGGCCAAAAGTAAACAAGCTATGATACCAAAGAATACAAATACTAATCTTCTTATCAACAATAACCTAGTCAAATACTACCTTAGTTCGTAAAGACTTTGATAATTGATCATAAGGTCCCAGGCTCAAATACCACCATCATCACTTATCCTTTATAAAAAATAAAAATAAAAATAACCCGGCCAAAGAGAAAATAAATTGAAATTTGCTCATAAGGTTCACTACTATGAAATCACAATATACATTTTTCGGCATCACATGTATTCTTATCAAGGTAGAACCACATAAATAACTGTTATCCCATTTTAAAAGAAATTTTCATCTATTGGATTTTAATTTTTTATCTCAACGTCTACTACTAAAGTGGCAAGGGCAGATGAATATTAAGAATATTGTTACCAGATAACTTTCGGTCTCACCAACTAAGTCAAACTCTTTGCTCTGTTGGAGCAGAATTACTGAGACCGACCAAAGAAAGCACAAGGATGTGTCTTAACTGCCTATCTACAACCAACTAACCAATTACATTTCACATTGGTAAAGCCCTCTATCATATATGAAACGGTTTGAATGGCAATAATCGAAGCAATACGATTCAAACATCAAGAAGACTCACAAAGATAACCAGAGCAAAATTAGTTCCAGCAAACCCTTGATCGAAAAAACAGAATAAAAAATGGTATGGACCTCGTGATTCACCTAAAATCCATATTCTTGATCGATCTAGCAGTGCGCGAGCATCAAGGCAAAAGGATAATCAAGAAAGGGAAGCGGCGTACAAGGGACGGTAACCATGAGGAGGATCTGGGGATGGAGACGGATCTGCGAGGAGAAATTTCTCTTGGTAAGGATCTGCCATTCCAATCTCGCACCGGAGCTCCTGCTGCTGCTCGCGTCGCCTCCGGTACCGGCGACAGACTCCGAAGAAGACGAGAGCAGCAACGAAGAAAAGATCACGTAGATGAGGAGGAGGAGGAGCTGCGACAGCGGCACTCCCATCGGCGGCGACACCTTCGACGGGGTTTCTGGAGACCAAGGTGGGTTCTCTCGATCTTCGTCGCCCGTTTGGGCCAAAATTCAATCTAAAATATCATTTGGGCTTTTCGTGATTCGACCGTGTGGTACGGGCTCGGGTTTTGTCGGATCCGATTTCAAGATTAGACTCACCAGCCTGTCTTTATGTAACCTTCGAGAGTTTGAACAAATTCTGAAGAAGATTAGAGCTCAGAATTTGTAGAAATAAGATATCGTTATAAGCTGTTTCACAGGTTAGATAACAAACATGTTTCGGTACAAATTCGGGTACTTAGCCACGATGACACATCATGTGCCAACTTGGCAAAGAGATGGATCGAATTCATATGCCCCATGCCTTGAGCCTTCCATTGTGATGACAACCTAACCAAAGATAAGCAATATACATTGGTATAAGCTCCTTGATTTGAACATTCAAGGTAATGCAGCATGCACGATGGAGCTCGTCCTCCTTTTCTTCGGACAGAAGAACATTGTTTTCTAACAGAACAGACATTAGTGGTGTAATCGTCCTGAACTATGTAGGAAAAAATAAAGGGTTGTGTAACATCAATTACGATCGATATAAAATTACGTTTTATGTCACTTTTCTTTTATTTTTTAATTATTTTTATTTAAAGTCATGATAATAATAATAATAGATTTGAAATGAAAAATATTATACTAAAAATACTAATGCATGTCCTAAGCTCAAATGAAAAAAAAATTGTAGAGTTATCTAAAGTCACTAATAACCGCCATAATATTTTAAGTCGAAAATCTCATAAAAGATATGTATTTTAATTCAATTGGGAAACGACAAGAAGTTGATTCATGATATGATAGAGCTACAAATTGGTTAGCTAATTTTGTTTATAATTTTAAAGTATGTAACTAGGTGAAAGAATTGATCCCATGAGTTCTATAGTACATGATCGAGGCACGCTCTTAATTATATCTTTAAAATTATATATTTATTTTTTCTCTCAAAAAATTCTACTACAAATACTTCAAACACCATTATACGTCTCTATATCCTTCAATCACGATTGATATGGATATGAGCTGTAGAAAAAATTACTATTTATATTATTATTTGGTTATATACAATCAAGTTATGATTATAATTGATGAGGCATGACTTGTGTAGGCGTCAACTTCTCACTCCTTTATAAGATTAAATAAAATAATTATTGGGTCAACTTTGGTTGGCAAATTCCTCAATCTTTTGAAAGACTAAATACGATAATTATCGGATCAAGTAAATGATAGTGCTTTCTATCTTTTTTTATTCATTAGTTACTCTTTTCAATAGTAACTAAATTATTAACTAGGCCAAGTGAATGATAAGGATTTTGGTCGTATTTTTCTCTAATACCTTTCTCAGTCATGACTTTCTTCTTTGAATATGGCGTAGTGTCTCTCTCATCTTTTTCTGTCGTCAATTTTATGCTACATTGTCAATCGAAGCGAACGAGGACTTTTGACTTCCACCACCAATCTCTAATCATATTATTAGATGTCTATATCTGTGGTCAAGCTCGGTTAGTGATACAGTTTGATGTATAGCAAATACATCATTTCCCCCAAGGTTTGATTGATAGATTAGGATTATGATCAGATTATGATAAAAAATGCAACACATATGGCGGAAATTAAGCAATGGAAAAGCCTCCCATAGGTGTCGTATTTCTATCAATCAATCAAACCTTGAGGGAAATAATGTATTTATTATACATCAAATTGTATCACTAACCGAGCTTGACTGAACATATAGACATCCCACAGTATGATTAGAGATTGGTGGTCTAAGTGAAAAGCCCTCATTCTCTTCGATTGTCAACCTAGCATAAAATTTACGACAGAAAAAGATGAGAGAGAGAGCCACTACGACATGTTCAAAGAAGAAAGTTATGACTGAGGAAGGTATCAAAGAAAAATGCGACCAAAATCGTTATCATTCACTTGGCCCAGTAAATAAGTGAGTTTCCAATTTGTTTTGGACATTGACTTGTTTCCATATTACTTGACTTAGACTCGTGACAATTTTGTTAGGCACATCTTCGTGTGGAACGTTCAGCCTCCAAGAGTTCCCTCTTGACAACTTTCCCCTCTAACGGGGCACTCACGCATGCGTTAGGCAAATATGAGCTTATATACACATATGAGAGTTGCCTGCTTTAGGGGTAGAGCTCACCATTAAACATGGGTGGGAGAACCCCTCTTCTTGTCCTCACCTTTTCTCTTGCTGTTCTGAGCATTGAGCTTGGGATTTCTCATGGTTGTCGTGAGAAGGAGAGGAAAGCCCTCATCGACTTCAAGCGTGGACTTCATGATCCTTCCGATCGTCTCTCTTCCTGGGTCGGGGAGGACTGTTGTGCGTGGGAACGTGTTGGCTGCAGCAACATCTCTGGTCATGTTATCAAGCTGGATCTTCGGAATAGACGTCGAATGGATCTATATGAGGGCTGCTCTCAACAGGAAGTTAATGATGATCCAGGATGCAAATGGGCAGTGCGTGGTGACATAACTCCATCTCTGCGTTCTCTCCAACAACTTAATCACCTGGACCTCAGCGGCAACTATTTTACGCATAAACCTATCCCCAAGTTCTTGGGAGCTTTCAGAAGACTAACATATCTTAACCTGTCAGGTGCAGGCTTCATGGGTAGAGTACCTGACCAGCTCGGAAATCTATCCACTTTGCAGCATCTCGACCTTTCTTATAACTGCTATAGGGATGATGAAGGTGGTGGCTTCTGCTTGTACCTTGAGAACACTGGTTGGATTTCTCTGCTCACTTCCCTTCGGCACCTTAACATGAATCGTGTTCATCTTACAAATGCGTCCAACTGGTTACAAGATCTGAATGCGCTCCCACGTGTTCAAGAGATTGAACTAAGTTCTTGTGACTTGGGGACCTTTCCACGTTCGCTGTCTCATGTCAACTTCACATCTCTTATCACGCTTGATTTACGATACAATTATATAAACTCCACCATACCGGATTGGGTGTTCAATATTACTAGCCTCGAGTTCCTTTATCTTGGTGGGAATGACCAGCATGGATTCTTTCCTGATTCTGTTGCAAAGTTAACATCTCTCAGGGCACTCGACTTGTCTGGGAGTGTGTTCCAAGATGGCTTCATGCAAGTAGCTCCTATATCCAACATCTGCAAGCTCCAAATTCTCTACCTACGCTCTGTGCCTATCCATGATGTGCTTGCCAATCTAGAAATGGTTTTCTCTGGATGTCTTAGGTATAGCATGGAGGAATTAGACCTCAGCAACACCCATCTGAGTGGTTCCTTTCCGGATTGGCTAGGGAACATCAAGAATCTCAAATCTCTTAATCTTTCTTTCAACTCCCTCTATGGATCAGTGCCTGCGTCTATCGGGAATCTGTCATTGCTGCAACATTTGGTTTTATGTTTCAATGATTTGAATGGGACGATTTCGGAAGGCATCGGACAACTGAAGAGCCTTGTTTATTTGGATCTCAATAGTAACTCGTTGAGCTTATCAGAGATCCAGTTGGCTAATCTATCAAGTTTAAGGTATTTGGACATTTCGAGCAACTGCAACTCGAGAAAAAATGGTGATTGGATCTCGCCCTTTTCAGCTTGAAGCTCTTTATATAGCATATTTTTTAATGAAATAGCCTGTTTTCCAAAATGGCTTCAAACACAAGCTTCTATTCATGAATTATATTTTTCAGGTGCAGGAGTAATAGACATGATTCTTGACGGGCTTCCTTCTGGTCTTGAGTATTTGGATCTTTCTCACAACTCTCTTAATGGATCATTGCCTGCATCTCTTGGAAATTTCTTGTTGTTGCATTCTTTGATTTTAAGTTCCAATTATTTGACTGGAATGCTTCCGGAAGGCATCAAATGGTTGAAGGGCCTCGTCAGATTGAATCTCTGTAATAACTCTTTGAGATTGTCGGAGGACGACCTTGCTAATCTATCAAGTTTGAAATATTTGGAAATTTCATACAACTCTATACAATTGAACAAAAGCGGTGATTGGATTCCTCCCTTTCAGCTTAACACTCTTTACATGGGATTCTGTCAAATACTGCCTGTGCCTCATTTTCCGAAATGGCTCCGAACACAAAACGCTCTTTGTGAATTAGATTTATCAAACACTGGTATCGAAGAAACAATTCCCAACTGGCTTTCATCCAATCTGCGATATTTGTATCTCTCCAATAACAAGATTACTGGTAAGGTGCCACAATTCTTTCCAAAATTGAAGTATCTAATTCTTTCAAACAACTCGTTCTCAGGGGATCTTCCACCAAGAATCTCAAACACAATGCCACGCTTACAATGGTTAGATCTATCTATGAATAATTTGAGCGGCGGGATTCCCTTCTCTTATTGTCGATCGAGGTATTTGGAAGGGCTTCTGCTTTCCGAAAATAATTTGTCAGGAGGTGTTCCTAATTGTTGGAAAAATCCCTCAAATTTACTTCTTTTAGACTTATCAAGCAACAAATTAGTAGGTGGAATCCCTGATTCAGTCTGTAATTTGCAAACGCTGGAGTCACTGCACTTGAGGCGCAATAATTTATCCGGGCCGATTCCTCTTTGTTTAAAGAGTTGCACAGAACTCGTTACTCTAGACCTCGGCCACAATAATTTTATCGGGAATATACCAACTTGGATCGGAGAAAGCCTCTTGTACCTGAAGACACTCAGCTTACGCTCGAATGCTTTCACTGGCAGCATTCCTCAATTATCTTCTCTAGCATCTCTTCGTATCTTGGATTTCTCCAACAACAATCTTTCAGGAATAATACCACGGAGCTTTGGAAACTTCAGTGCATTAAAAGGCACTCCTACCTATCATTGTTGTTACTTCAACAACAATCGACCCTACGAGGAAGTTATGTGGCTCTTCGTAAAAGGAAGTGAAATCAAGTATACCACCACCAGTCAACTTTCAATTGATACACTTATTGATCTCTCCAACAATTACTTATCTGGAAACATCCCTGAAGAGTTGGGGAATTTGCATGGATTGCGGAGCTTAAATCTATCCAAAAATTATCTTATAGGTCAAATACCAAGAAGTATTGACGGAATGAAACAACTGGAAGTTCTCGATCTATCAAGAAATAATCTCTCGGGTGCAATTCCTTCCGGTTTGGCAACTTTGAATTTCTTGAACCAATTGAATTTATCATATAACAATCTTTCAGGAAGGATTCCCACTGGCAACCAGTTGCAAACTTTTACTGATCTATCTGTCTACGCTGGCAATCCAAATCTTTGTGGCCCTCCTCTCCCTAAAAATTGTACGATGAATATGACGAAGGCTGATGAAGAAGATCAAGATGAAGATTCTTATGAGAGTAGCATGGAAGCACTTTGGTTATACACGAGCATCACACTGGGATTTATTACTGGATTTTGGGCAATTTGTGGAAGCCTTTTGTTGCGACGAACATGGAGGATCGTGTACTTTCGCGCCATTGATAACATGTATGACAAGCTATACGTGGTGACGGTAGTGACCGTGACAAAATACAAAAGGAAGCTACGATAACTCTGTTGCGAGAGGGGGTCGATATGACTCATCCAACTTAAGCCATAGCAATAGCATTAGTATCGATGTAATAAACTCATGATTTGCATGTCTTGTCATAATGCACCGTCACATGATTTTAATTTTTCCTTTTTGTGCATGCTATAAAGACTGTTATATTATCGGTTGATGTTTGTGTACGTAGTTGTTTGTCAAAACTTTAGGTCGCCAAAATATGAGTTCTCTGCCTATGGTTTATGAGCTGTTATTTACTTCATGCTGCAGTGGAAAGCATAAATTAATGTAAAGATTAATAATAGTGAATCTTTTGTCATCCGAAATTTATCTTTCTGTCAATTGTGTTGCAGTAAGTTGACATCACTTGCGGTATGCATACATGAAACTAGACCTTTACATATTTTTATCAAACTGATAAATATAGGTGATGTGGCTCCTAAACTGGCTAGTCTAAACCCGAGAGCCTTGATTGCTAATGGCCCGTGGAAGGTTAAAAATGATTTCAAATCTAATGAAAAGTACACTAACCGCTATGTGATTCTTCTCAACGTTTCCATCTTACTATTGTTCAGGGGATCATTTATCTGAAGGACCCAAGGGATATGCCAATTATATGTAAAATGATACCCTCACTTTGAGAATTGGCATCAGCTCAATTATACTGACTCTAGCAATATGGATGCTGCTAGAGAGACTGGTTTTCTTATCCGGAATAACAATGAGCTTACTTTGATTGTTGCATGCAATCGAACAATGAACATGCCATTACTCTACAATTAATCGGTTGCATCGATGGAAGGGCTTGTTGTTGCATGTAGAACTTGATGAGCTTACATGTGGCAATGGCTATTGCAGCAACAAAATTAAAATTTATATCACAGAATAGCAATTAACCTGATACAAAATGATATCCTTAATACATTGTAATAGACTTTGCAATAGAGATTAACACTTCAAAATCAACACTCCGGGTAGTTGATTGCTATAAATTCAATCACCATATTTTGATGACACATTTTCAGCTTGAATGATTTAGGATATTAGTGGAGTTAAGTACATGATAATTCGAGAGATTTTTTTTTGTTAATTTTCTCTATTTAATAATTAGTTAAATCGTTGGGTCAAGTAAATGATTACAATTTGAATTAGTTTTCTTGTCTTCCGTGAATAGATTATTTGATATGACACAAGATCCTTAATAATAATTAACTTGATATAAAATGATATCTTAATACATTACAATAGAGATTAATGCTCCCAGGTATTTGACTACTTCTACTGATTCAATCACCAACGTTTGATGATAAATTTTCAGCTCAATTGAATGATTCAACGCATTAATATAGTCAAGTAAATGATAATGATTCGAGTGACTTTTCTTTATTTTCTTGGTTCAAGAATTGGACAAATCGTTAGGTCAAGTAAACGATAATGATTAGTAGTAGTTTTCTTTGGTTACTTTCGATGAATGAATTGTTTGACATGACATGATATCCTAAATAGTAATTAACTTGAGACAAAATGATATCCTTAATACATTAGAAAAGAAACTAATGCCCTAAATGGTATTTGACTGCTTAGCCAGCCACTGATTCAAATCACTAACTTTTGATAGTAAATTCTTAGCTCAATTGAATGATTCAACATACTAGTAAATCAAGTAAATGATAATGATTTGAATGACTATACTTTATTTTATCTATTCAGGACGAATTGCTAGGTCAAGTAAACGATTGTGGAGTAGCTTTCTTCGATTGTCTTTAATAAATGGATTATTTGATACGATACCCAATTGTAGACGGAAGGTCTTTCCTGTTTTTATTGTAAATTTTGAGCCACATAAAAGGATGTGGTAGTTGATAAAAAAAGGATAAGAAATGCTTTTGAGTTAATAGAAATAAGAAAATATTGCCACGTTGAAGAATCTGCAACGTATATTAATAAGAAAACTAGCGTCTAGGAAAAGTACAAATATAATTAATTCGTGACAAGTATAATTTATATTCATTGGGGTTAATTAATACGTCTCCTAGACAATTACAACGCCATCTTCAATAGTATATTAATAATTAATGCATACTAACATAAGCAATAAGTCATCTCCAATGTCGTATTATCTAGGAAAAATCCAAAAAGACAAGTATCTGCCATCTTCATCAAAAACAAAAAAAAACATTCGGGTAATTATATTTGAGATCGAAAGAGTGTAAATTGTCCATCCTCAACTTAATCTCAGCGTTATGGCTGGAACCTTTTCAACATTGCAAGTGCTTCAGCCATCAATGGATTGTGCGTTTTGTATTGAAGCAGACTTAATACCTACAGTGAATTCAAGAGAAGAGAATGAGCCATCACATTGTCTAATATAATCAAAAGCTCCATCCCCTAAAATTAATTTTTTTTATTGAAATAGTAACAACTTTCATCGAAATTAAAGAAAGATAACAAGAGGATTAGATGATATATCAGAATCACCCACTTTATAAAAACATGAGAACCCATTGGTTCTTAGAAAAGCAACAAGCTGATGAACTTTGCTGTCGAGAGCCTTAGGGATAAAACTATGAGCAATGATGTGAAGTTTGGCCATCAAAAACTTTTACATCAGAAATAATGACAGTAAGGAACCAAGGGATTTCCTCGGCACTGTTAACAATAGATATTAGTGATTTTAAGATCCAATTATTTGAATGGGATACTTTTAGAAAGAAGTTGAAGGATCTCGTCAATTTGGATCTCTACGATATCTCGTTGAGATTGTTAAAAGATGGCCTTACTAATAAATCAAGCTTAAAATATTTGGACATTTCATATAACTCTGTACACTTGAACAAAAGATGATTGGATCCCTCCTTTTCAGCTTAACACACTTCTCATGGGATTCTATCAAATATGGCACATACCTCATTTTCTAAAATGACTCCTAACACAAATTATTCTTTGTGATTTAGATTTATCAAATACAAGTATTAAAAAAATGATTCCCAATTGACTTCCATCTTGTCTCGAGTTTTTGGATCTCTCCAATAATATAATTGGCGGCGACGTGCCATATTATTTTCCAAATCTAACTACTTTTTCTCTAGGCATCTTTTACTGAGAATCTCAGATACTACCAAGCTCAAAATGGTTTGATATGTCCTTGATCCTCTTTTTTTATTATCGAATCAAGTCTTTAGTAATGCTTCGGCTTTCTAAAAATAATTTTACGAGAGAGTTTTCTAAAAATAATCTTAGACTTATCAAGAAATAAATTACAAGGAGGAATTCCCAACTCCCTTAGCAATTTACAAAGTCTAAACCCAGTTATCTCATCTTACATCCCTTCGGATAGTGACTCTCTCGAATAATCATTTTCGGGAACAATACCAAGTAGCTTTGACAATTTTAATGCCTTGAAAGGTTCTCCTATAATTTCCATAATTTCTCCTACAATTTTGATGAGTTTTTATCATAAAATAGTATTAATTGAGGATCACATATGACTCTTCGTAAAAGGGAGTGAACTCGAATACAACACCAGGGTACTTTCGATCGATATAGTTATTGATCTCTCTAATAATGATTTGTCTGTGCACATCCCTAGAGAGCTAGGAAATTTACATGATCAGCGGAGATTAAATCTATACGGGAATTACCTAACAGGGGAGATGCCAAACAACATTGACGGAATGCAACAACTAGAAATCCTCGACCTCTCAAGAAATAATTTCTCGAGTATAATTCCTTCGGCCTTGACAGCTTTAAACTTCTTGAATGATTTAAACTTGTCATGTAACAATCTCTCGGATAGACTGATAGTCAATTGCAAACTTTAAATGATCCATCTATCTATATCAACAATCCAAATCTTTGTGGGCCTCCTCTCCCAAAAAAAAATTGTACAGTTGGCCTGGCAAAACATACTGAACAAGAGAACAAAGAGGACTCTGGGAGTAGAACTGAAATAATTTGGCTATGCATCTGGACTGCACTGGGATTTCTCGTGGGACTTTAGACGATCTGTGGAAGCCTCGTACTTTCAAGCTTTTGATAACATGTATGAGAGGCTCCGCGTGCTGATGGCAATGAACGTGACAATGTTCAATAGATTGCCATCGGTAGGAAGTCGAGATGGTCGATCCAACGTTGGCATTTTCAATTACTGTCGAGCATTATGTAATAGAGTCATGATTTGCATATGTTTTCTTTTCGTAATACGCTGGCCACATGATTTCAGTTTTTGTAAGACTTATCGATTCGTCTTCGATGCAACCTTCCTTCTCTTATCTAAAAAGCTTGGTTCATTGAATTATGTGTTCTCTGCTTATAACAATATAATAATACAAAATAGTGTCACATTTTCACAACCCAATTTATGCTTAATTTGATCACTAACAAAAGCATCTTGTTTTAACACCTCAATCACGTGAATGTTAGTTGCAATTTCGAAGAAATTTATGATCCCTTGTAGATCGATCCAAGTTGGTGGGTCAATATGACCCATCAAATCATGGATTGATTCAAAATACTTAAATCTAAATTAATAATAATATATACCAATTTCTTTTGGTATAGGTAGGCCATTGGTCTTAGAATCCCAAAAACCAAATTAATTGGTGGGTTGGAAAATCGAGTCCAATAATTCAATCCATGTGATGGTGAGCGTCCGACAAACTTTCTCACATATTGACTTGGATGAACTTTTGATTCATGACACGGTTTGTGATACATGTGCTATGATTAATGATTTGTGATACATGTGCTATGATTAATTTCAAACTCTTTTTAAATCTCTACATCCTTTGGTTAATGATTGATGTGGACATAAGCTGTGGGAACAACCACTCCATTGACAATTTTCAACAACAAGTGTGACATTTCAAATATTTATAAAAAATTATAAAAGTCGCATTCTTTATTGATAAATTTGTTTGGAACGTTAAGTACCTTCATTTGATCAAGTAAATGAGAGTGATTTAAGTGGTTTTTTTTTTCTTTGGTTATTCTTTCATAGAATCGACAAAGCAAGTGGGTGAAGCCAATGATAGTGATTTTGAGTATATTTCTCTTTATATTTTTCTATAGTCAATGAACCTCTACAAGTTTCCCCGTTTTACACTAGCAAAATTAGTTCCTTGGAAAAACAAGTAGCTGATTGATGATGCATTTAATGTTTGATGATTCTACTAAAAATAATAATATGAATTGTTATAACCATGCAAATGCATTAGATTATTAAAATTTTATATTTTCATTCTCTAAAAGTCTTGTTACAAATATTTGAAACTCCCGATTAGATCTCTACATCCTGCGATAAAGAGTGACTTCCATATGAGCTGTGGAAATAGTTACTGTTTCAAAGATTAGGCAAATGATAGTGATTTAGAGTAGTGTTTTTCTTTGTTATCTTTTGAATGAATATGTACATATCTTTTACACAATATGACAGTATATCTTTCTCTTTTTTTTTTTATTATGTCCCGATGATATTTTATGTCCCTTTGAAATCTTTCTATTTTATTGAGAGAAATCTTCTATTTTAGAAATCTTCCATTGTAATCTATATAAATAGGAGAGGGACATGTTAATGTATTCAAGAAAACTTTTTCAATAAAGCTTCTTTAATAATTCTTCTTATCATCTATTTTCTTATTTTCTATTCTTTTTATTAACTGAATTGTAGACGGATGGTCTTCTTGTTTTGCCGTAAACTTAGTGAAGGATAAGCAATTTAAATGATTGCTTAATAATTCATTTGAGAAATAATTTGGAGTTGATACAAATAAGAAGCTTGTAACTCCTTCGAAAGATTAGACAAATTAATTGGATCAAGTAAATAATAATGATTTTGAGTAGCTTATGCATGTATTTATCTTTTAAAATAAATAAAAAGAATAATTGGGTCAAGTAAATGATAGTAGTTTTAAGTAATTTTTTTTCTGATATTTTCGATGAATGGATTTCTCCTAAACAATACCGGGCACCATCTTTTAGATCCATATTTTAAATTCAACAAAATTAATAAATTAATTATCTCGTCAAATTTGACCACAATTATTTAAGTTGTATTATTGCTTTGTTAATGAAAGACACTCTACAATCCAATTTATGCTTAATTTAATCACAAACAAAAAAAAATTATTGTTTTAATACCTCAATCACGATTGATTTGTCATGATCCCAATTGATGAATCGATATAACCTATCGAATTATTGAGTCAAAACGAAATATCCAAAATACTTAAGTTTAAATTAATAATAATAAAATATATAATCCATCCTATTATATTCATAACACAAACATAGGTCACTAGTCTTAGAATCTTAAAATCTTAATCAAATAGTGGGTTGGAAAATTGAGTCCAATAATTCAATCGTGTAAAGTGTGGAGGGAAAATTGACTCCAAATTGAGATCACCATCGTGTAAAGTGTGGAGGGAAGATGTGGAGGAAAAGCTCCCCGGCCTCTCTTTCCATTGGGTGTTGAATGATTCTCACCTCAGACGACTTTGACTACCAGCCGAATAATGACATCTATCTATGGATATCCAGCACCCACCAAGTCTATAGTCCTAATGTTCATGTTCACAAGAGGCTAGAGCGGAATATTAATATAAATACACACACATGGACTACTGCCTGCCGCACGAGTAATAAGAAGTTAGTTAGATCCTCTAATATCCATCCATGGGTGAAAGATCTCCTCTTCTTGTGATCGTCATCTCTCTTTCCGTGCTCTGCATTGATCTCGGGATCTCGGATGGTTTCTCCATGATCCGCTGTCAAGAGACAGAGAGGAAAGCCCTCATGGAGTTCAAGCAACGAGTCCGTGATCCTTCCCGTCGTCTTTCTTCCTGGGTTGGGGAGGATTGTTGTAGTTGGGAAGGCATCCGCTGCAGCAACGTCACTGGCCATGTTATCGAGATCCACCTTCGCAATAGACATCGGTCAGATGTTTCATACATAGATTGCTCTGAGACTGACTTCGATGATGATGATGTTGGATGCAGATGGGCGCTGCACGGTGGCATAACTCCATCATTGCTTTCTCTCCAACACCTTAATCATTTGGATCTTAGCGGCAACAACTTTGAAGGAAATCGTATCCCAGAGTTCTTGGGATCCTTTGGAAGACTAACATATCTTAATCTCTCAGGAGCAGGCTTCGGAGGTAAAGTACCTGATCAGCTGGGAAATCTCTCCACCTTGCACCAACTCGATCTTTCTTATAATTTCTACTCGGAAGATGATTTTTATAAATTCTTATACATCGAAAACATTGGATGGATCTCTCGTTTGACTTCTCTACAGCACCTTAACATGAATTGGGTTAGTTTTAGAAATGTGTCCAACTGGTTACAAGCACTGAACGTGCTCTCTAGTATTCAAGTGGTTGAATTGGCTTATTGTGGCTTGAGGGCCTTTCCCCCTTCACTACCACATGTCAACTTCACATCTCTTACAACTCTAAATTTGTACGATAACTTGATCAACTCTACTGTGCCAGACTGGCTGTTTAACATAACCAGCCTCGAGGTGCTTTCTCTTGGTTGGAATTACCTCTACTGGCACACTCCTGATTCTATTGGCAAGTTGACAAATCTCAGGTCACTCGACTTATCTAGTAATATGTTCCACGACGGCTTCAGACCACAAGCTCTATCCAACCTCTGCAAGCTCCAAATTCTCT